TTAACGGCGGCGAGGGCAGGTGTTCTGCAGGCGGGAGCGAAGGACACTGTCTACCGGCGTCGCCCCCCCCCCCCCCCCCCCCCCCCCCCCCCCCCCGCCTCCAGCTAGCTAGTAAGGAGGACTCCGGGAGGCGGGAGCAAAAAAAAAAAACGATATATATCTGACCACATATATAATGACAGACCCAGTGGAACATCAAGGAGTGAGCTGGTGGAGTAAATAGTGTGGTTCCGTCAGTGAGTTGAGTGAAACAACCAGAACTACCACACCACACACACACACACACACACACACACACACACACACACTTTTCCCGTAGTACTCTGGGCTAGCAAGAGGCGGCAGAAAACCCCAAGGCATTGAGCCTGTTGAAAGCCTAGATTATTTACTGTATATAAATGTCTAGATTAACTACCATGAAATGTAAATGCATTCTCCTTAGTAATAATAGCATGTGTTAATCAGCCGATTACTTATCGCCAGAGAACAGTGTTCAGGTTAGTACAAACGTCACTCTGTTGATCTACGTACGTGTGTGCGCGTGGGCGGAGTGGGATTTCCTGGAGCAGCGGATATCGTTTGGTAGCGTGATATCCGCACCGTTTTTCTTATTTTTTTTACATTTCATTTTGCGAAAGCAAGGAAGAGTCGCCTTCCCTTCCTAGTAGTAGCTAGCTGCCTTTAGCCTGGCTAGCTGCCTTTAGCCTGGCTAGCTGCCTTTAGCCTGGCTAGCTGCCTTTAGCCTGGCTAGCTGCCTTTAGCCTGGCTAGATGCCTTTAGCCTGGCTAGCTGCCTTTAGCCTGGCTAGCTGCCTTTAGCCTGGCTAGCTGCCTTTAGCCTGGCTAGCTGCCTTTAGCCTGGCTAGCTGCCTATAGCCTGGCTAGCTGCCTTTAGCCTGGCTAGCTGCCTTTAGCCTGGCTAGCTGCCTTTAGCCTGGCTAGCTGCCTTTAGCCTGGCTAGCTGCCTTTAGCCTGGCTAGCTGCCTTTAGCCTGGCTAAAAACATAGCAAGTTAGCTAGCCTTTTTAGCTTCCCTCATCTCCATGTGAAATAATCTGATTTATAATTTTAAAAAAATATGCCCTGGCAAATATTGTTATACTTGCCGGTGTAACCTAAAACATTATCCCAGTTTGATAATGCTGCTTGTGTATTAATTCCTGACACTGTCAACCCTGACACTGTCAACCCTGACACTGTCAACCCTGTTACTTTATTTGGCACTTAATAGGCCTTACTATAGTAATTTTTTTTATTTAACCTCTTGAGATAGAAAAACATTTTTTTTTTATCAAGTTGAACATGTGCTCTTTACGACAATTTTAGAATGAGGTGAAATCGAATGGGGTTACACTTCTCAAAAGGCACCTAATTGGTGGAACGACCTACGTGCGTGACCAGTAGGCCAGGTTGCTACTTTATCAGTGTATTGGAGAGAGGCCAGGTCGCTACTTCATCAGTGTACTGGAGGGAGGCCAAACAGACAGTAAGCCAGGTCGCTACTTCATCAGTGTACTGGAGGGAGGTTATCCAAGGACTCACAGGGATAGAGGTGGAGGTTGGGGAGAGTTTAGCTATGTGTCATGAGAGATATTATTGATTTTCAGATTAAAGCCTGATCAATACTCGTGCTGTACTATTGACAGATCGTGCTCAGAGTACCAGGGGCGGGCAGCACTGTGTTTCTAGGTTACAGATGTCAAAGAGCAGATGGATGTGTCCTCCATCACTGTCTGGTCCTAACCAGCCCCCTGCTGCCTGTCGTTAACTTACCACCCCCACTCTGCCAGTCTCACACACACACTGGTTGGCTGATTCCCAAGCACATTCCAAGCCATTGAGAAACGTCTGAAATTGTCAGCAGTCATTCATGAGTCGCTAATCAAATTAAGTGTTCTCACTAACTGTAAAAGGGGAAATATTTACCTCAGGACAGAACATTGGGGTCTGTAACCCAATGAACGGGTTTGGGAAGGGGACAGATTGTCTCTGGTCTTCAAAGAAAGCTTTAGGTCCACCATGACATTGCAAAAATATACTGAACAAAAAATATAAAATGCAACAATTTCAAAGATTTTACTGAGTTACAGTTCATATAAGGAAATCAGTCAAACAGAAATAAATTCATTAGGCCTAATCTATGGATTTCACATGACTACGCAAGTGCTCCCACTGGGGAGCCAGGCCCAGCCAATCAGAATGAGTTGTCCCCCACAAAAGGGCTTTATTATAGACAGAAATACTCCTCAGCACCCCCTCAGATAATCCCGCAGGTGAAGAAGCCAGATGTGGAGGTCCTGGGCTGGTGTGGTTACACATGGTCTGCGGTTGTGAGGCCGGTTGGACGTACTGACAAATTCCAAATTCTCTAAAACGACATTCGAGGTGGCTTATGGTAGAGAAATGAACATTCAATTCTCCGGCAACAGCTCTGGTGGACATTCCTGCAGTCAGCATGCCAATTGCACGCTCCCTCAAAACTAGAGACATCTGTGGCAATGAGTTGTGTGACAAAACTGCACATTTGAGTGGTCTTTTATTGTCCCCGGCACAAGGTGCACCTGTGTAATGATCATGCTTTTTAATCAGCTTCTTGATATGCCACACCTGTCAGGTGGATGGATTATCTTGGCAAAGGAGAAGTGCTCACTAACAGGGATGTAGGTCCTGTGTGGCTCAGATGGTAGAGCATGGCACTTGCAACGGCAGGGCTGTGGGTTCGATTCCCACGGGGGACCAGTACGAAGAAGAAAAAAATTAACTATCAAAATGTATGCACTCTACTGTAAGTCGCTCTGGATAAGAGCGTCGACTAAAATGTACATGTAAACAAATTTGTGTACAAAATTTGAGAGAAATAAGCTTTTTGTGCATATGGAAATGTTCTCACCTCATGAAACATGGGACCAACACTTCACATGTTGCATATATATTTTTATTCAGTATAGATTACTTAGCCAAGTAAATGAAGCAGGGCTAGGTTTAGCCGGGTTAGAGACAGCTAAAGCTAGCAGCCTCTCTCTTGGTGCTTACACAGCCATGAATATTCCTCTGTTGTTATAGCCGCGGTACTAAATGCGTTTGGTGCAGGTTCTACATCCATCGAAGTAATAGGTCATCATAGGAAGTAATCCCTCTATAACCACCATGAAAACATCCCTGTGGAGGAAACTGAGGCTGTGTCCCAAATGGAAACCTTCCCTGTGTGTCCTGGTCTAAAGTAGTGCACTATAAAAAGGGAATAGGGTTACCATTTGGGACGCAGGCCAAGCAAACCAGTGCTAAGCCAGTGACATTCAAATCAGCAATAGTGGAACAATTCAACTGCAGCCTAAGGAGGAGCAGAGCAGAAGAGTTGAGTTGACAGAAAGTTGCCTGCCGGGCCTGTGGAACAATAGCTATTTTCTTTTGATTCGGCCAGGCTCAAAAAACTGCTTTGTGGCACGAGAAATCTTCCCCCACCCAATCACACTAAAGCATCGAAGGTCCCCAAGAACACAGTTGCTTCCATCATTCTTAAATGGAAGAAGTTTGGAACCACCAAGGCTCTTCCTAGAGCTGGCCGCCCGGCCAAACTGAGCAATCGGGGGAGAAGGGCCTAGGTCAGGGAGGTGACCAAGAACCTGATGGTCACTCTGACAGAGCTCTAGAGTTTCTCTGTGGAGATGGGAAAAACTTCCAGAAGGACAACCATCTCTGCAGCACTCCACCAATCAGGCCTTTATGGTAGAGTGGCCAGACCGAAGCCACTCCTCAGTAAAAGGCACATGACAGCCTGCTTGGAGTTTGCCAAAAGGCACCTAAATACTCTCAGACCATGAGAAACAAGATTCTCTGGTCTGATGAAACCAATAAATCATCTGGAGGAAACCTTTCACCATCCCTACGGTGAAGCATGGTGGTGGCAGCATCATGCTGTGGGGATGTTTTTCAGCGGCAGGGACTGGGAGACTAGTCAGGATCGAGGCAAAGATGAACGGAGCAAAGTACAGAGAGATCCTTGATGAAAACCTACTCCAGAGCACTCAGGACCTCAGACTGGGGGAGACGGCTCACCTTCCAACAGGGCAACGACCCTAAGCACACAGCCAAGACAATGCAGGAGTGGCTTCGGGACAAGTCTCTGAATGTCTTTGAGTGGCCCAGCCAGAGCCGGGCTTGAACCCGAATCAAATATCTCTGGAGAGACCTGAAAATAGCTGTGCAGCAACGCTTCCCATCCAACCTGACAGAGCTTGAGAGGATCTGCAGAGAAGAATGGGAGAAACTCCCCAAATACAGGTGTGCCAAGCTTGTAGCGTCATACCCAAAATGACTCGATGCTGTAATCGCTGCCAAAGGTGCTTCAAGAAAGTACTGAGTAAAGGGTCTGAATACTTATGTAAATGTGATATCTGTTTTTTATTTGTAATACATTTGCAAAAATTGATAAACTATTTTTGCTTTGTCATTATGGGGTATTGTATGTAGACTGATGAGGGGAAAAAAAAACAATTTAATCAATTTTAGAAAAAGGCTGTAACGTAACAAAATGTGGAAAAAGTCAAAGGGTCTGAGAACTTTCCGAAGGCGCTGTATTTCCACACTATGAGGTTGGAATAATACTGTGAAAATGATGATAACGCCAATGCGATAAATCAGTTCATAGACCATTAAGAAAAATAGTTCCAAACCTCTCTGCCAATAACAGCTAGTTTTCCATTTCCCCCCTCCCCCCTCAGACCCCTCCCAAACAGTCATAGCAAAACTCTTGCTTGAGAAATTGCTCCTTGCTAAGAAGCTATTTTTGTTTATTTTTTCATTGAAAACCATCACAGTAAGGTACTTATGATCCCTTTTCTCTTTTTCCCCATTAACCAGGTTGGTGGCGTTGGAGGACTGACTAACTTGTCTTGTGTGTGCCTTTGTTAGATGTGCACTCTATTCCCTGTGTCGAATGTACTCCTGGCTACACAGTGAATTTCCCTTCAGGGACAATAACGTTTAAATAATGTGACTGTACCTCATCTCCCGAGGCCAGTCGTTGGGTCAACTCCTTCAGGCTCCTCATCATCCTCTCATCTCTGAAGTCGTAGGGGAACGTCTCTGTCCACTCCTGGAGCAGCTGCAGGATCTTGGGAGCCATCTTCCTGATCCTCATCTGAAAGATACACATACTTAATTGATCATGGTTATATTTTGTAACACCCAAGTCTGTAAATTAATATATACATTAATCTGAGCGCAGAAACACTCAACATAGTCAGGAACACAAGCAAGCTTCTCTATTTGGTCACCTACAAACAAGCAAGATTTCTGGCTCTCACAGACCTGTAACTTCTTCTTTAAGAGCATCCTCTGTCCTCCACTCGTTACCTGTATTAATGGCACCCGTTTGAACTTGTTATCAGTATAAAAGACACCTGTCCACAACCTCAAACAGTCACACTCCAAACTCCACTATGGCCAAGACCAAAGAGCTGTCAAAGGACACCAGAAACAAAATTGTAGACCTGCACCAGGCTGGGAAGACTGAATCTGCAATAGGTAAGCAGCTTGGTTTGAAGAAATCAACTGTGGGAGCAATTATTAGGAAATGGAAGACATACAAGACCACTGATAATCTCCCTCGATCTGGGGCTCCACGCAAGATCTCACCCCGTGGGGTCAAAATGATCACAAGAACGGTGAGCAAAAATCCCAGAACCACACGGGGGGACCTAGTGAATGACCTGCAGAGAGCTGGGACCAAAGTAACAAAGCCTACCATCAGTAACACACTACGCCGCCAGGGACTCAAATCCTGCAGTGCCAGACGTGTCCCCCTGCTTAAGCCAGTACATGTCCAGGCCCGTCTGAAGTTTTCTAGAGTGCATTTGGATGATCCAGAAGAGGATTGGGAGAATGTCAGATGAAACCAAAATATAACTTTTTGGTAAAAACTCAACTCGTCGTGTTTGGAGGACAAAGAATGCTGAGTTGCATCCAAAGAACACCATACATACTGTGAAGCATGGGGGTGGAAACATCATGCTTTGGGGCTGTTTTTCTGCAAAGGGACCAGGACGACTGATCCGTGTAAAGGAAAGAATGAATGGGGCCATATATCGTGAGATTTTGAGTGAAAACCTCCTTCCATCAGCAAGGGCATTGAAGATGAAACGTGGCTGGGTCTTTCAGCATTACAATGATCCCAAACACACCGCCCGGGCAACGAAGGAGTGGCTTCATAAGAAGCATTTCAAGGTCCTGGAGTGGCCTAGCCAGTCTCCAGATCTCAACCCCATAGAACATCTTTGGAGGGAGTTGAAAGTCTGTGTTGCCCAGCGACAGCCCCAAAACGTCACTGCTCTAGAGGAGATCTGCATGGAGGAATGGGCCAAAATACCAGCAACAGTGTATGAAAACCTTGTGAAGACTTACAGAAAACGTTTGACCTGTGTCATTGCCAACAAAGGGTATATAACAAAGTATTGAGAAACTTTTGTTATTGACCAAATACTTATTTTCCACCATAATTTGCAAATAAATTCATTAAAAATCCTACAATGTGATTTTCTGGATTTTTTTTCTCATTTTGTCTGTCATAGTTGACGTGTACCTATGATGAAAATTACAGGCCTCTCTCATCTTTTTAAGTGGGAGAACTTGCACAATTGGTGGCTGACTAAATACTTTTTTCCCCCCACTGTATATCAGCTAAATAATCTGATGTACGGTTACAAGTCTATCTTCATTAAGAAAGTATAATAGTATAATAGAGTATGCTAAAGGTAAGTTAAACCCCGCTAGAATATGTATAAATAAATTTACTTAAAAAGTATGTCAATATGTTAAAATAGCAAGAATATGTATAAAAAGCTAATAGGTAAATATAAATTTGCTAAATGTATAATAACTAACTAATAGAGTTAATAAATTGCTAATAAGTTATAATATGCAATAGTTAAATTTCTATAAAGTTAGTTTAAATGCTAATAGATATGTATAAAATAGCAAAAAGTATATAATATACTAATAAGTATAGTTAAAACTACTAAGGGATAGTATAAATATACTACAGGTATGTATAATATAGCTAATAGAGTATAATTAGCTTAAAAATTGAAATAATGTTTTTTACAAAAATTTGTTAGTTTTTTATTGTTGTTTTGCTAAAAATATTATAATAAAGCGCTATGAGTATTTAATTGCTACTAGAGAGTTTATATAGCTAATATAGTATAATTAAAAATTGCTAAAAAGAGTATAATAGAATATGCTAATAGTATAAACTTAAATATAAAAAAATGCTGAGTATAGTATAATAATGTGGTATGTTAAAAAAACGTAAGATAGTTTATATAGCTAATAGATATAGTTTAATATCTAATAATAATTTTTAATATAGCTAAAAATGTAATTTTAAAATTTGCACTAGAGTTTGGGGATAATACCAATATAGTATATTTTTAAATAGCTAATAGATTTAGTATATATACTAAAAGTAGTTAAAATAAACTAAAAGGTATAAATAGCTATAGGTAAGTTAAATAGTAAAGTTAAATTTAAAAAGCTACAAGTAAGTTTAATAGGCTAATATAGATAGTTAAAAACTAAAAAGAGTAAAAGTAATTAGCTAATAGAGTTATTTTAAAAATAGCTAATAGAGTATAAAAAAATTTGCTACTAAAATATAAATTAGCTACCAAATATGTATAATATAGCGTATAGTATAATAAGCAAAAGAGTATAATTAGCTATAAGTATAGTTTAAATACAAAAGAGTATATAAAATACGCTAAAAAATATATAAAACGCTAATAAAATTTTTTAAATTTGCTAATTGTATATTTAATATGCTACTAGATATTTGAATATGCTAATATAGTATAGTTTAATATAGCTACAGATATATATAATATAGCTTTAAAAGGATGTTTAATATGCTATAAGTATATTGCTATAGGATATATATAATATAACTACTAAGTAAGTTAAATATACGATTTAGTAAATATACTAATAGGTATAAAAATTAAACTAGGTAAGTTAATATCAATAGTATAGTTTAATATAGCAAAATATTAAATATAAATTAGCTAAAAATTTGTATAGTTTAATGTTAACAGAGAAGTTATTAGTTTAAAAGTTAGTTTAATATAGGAAAATGTATATATAATATGCTAATATTAAAATTAAAACTAAAAGAAATACAGTATAAAAAGCTCTAGAGTTTTAGTATAAAATAGCTAATAGATATAGGTTAATATACGAAAAAGTTAGTATAAAATAGCTAATAGGTATAATATTTTAATATATTATTAATATACACTAATATTATATATAGCTAATAGAGTATAGTTTAATATAGCGAATAGAGTATATATAATAGCTAATGATATAAATACTAAAATTTGTATAGTATAAATTGCTAATTAGTAATTTTAATATGCACAAGTATAGAAAAAATGCTAAAAGAGTATATAAATATAGCTAAAAGACTATAGTTAATATAAAAATAGGTTAGTATAATTAGCAAAAGTAAAATTTTAATTGCTTAGAGTATAGAAAGCAAAGTATAATATAAAACAGCTAAGAATATGTATAAAAAATCACTAAAAGGATATATAGCTACTAGAGTATAGTTTAATATAGCTAATGAGTATATAAATATAGCACTAAGTATAGTATTATGCTAAAAAGTATGTATAAAAAGCTAATAGGTAAAATTTAATATAGCTATAGAGTAATTATAGCTAATGATAATAATATTTAAAACCTAAGAAATATATAAATTAAAAGCGCTAAAATATTTTAATATACACTATATAGTTTTAAATAGCAATATAGTTAAATTTAAAAGCGAAAAGTATATATAATATCAATGAGTTAATATAGCTAAAAGTATAGTATAAAATTTCAATAAGTATAGTTTAATATCTAAATAAGTATAGTTAAATAGCTAAAAAGTATATATAAATACTAATAGACTATGTATAATAAACTAATAGGAATGTATAAAAAGCTCTAAGATTATAAAATGCTAATTTAATATATAAATAAGCTAATAATTAGTTTAATATCCCAAAAATTAGTTAGCTAATAGAGTATAATATAATCACTAAAAAATATAGATAATTAAACAGCTAATAGGTTAAAATAGCTAAAAGATATATTTTTAAAAAGCAATGAGTATAGTAATAAAGCTACTAGAGTATGTATAATTAGCTTAGAGTAAATAATTACTCAATTAATAATATAGCTAATAGAGTATATATACTAATAAATTTAAAATTTAAAAGCTAAAATTATTAAAAATATAAAAGAGCTAATATATATAATTAGCTACAAGATGTAAAATAAAGCTAATGAGTTAGTTTAATATGCTAATGAGTATAGTTTTTTTGCTATAGGTAATATAATCCAGCTAAAATATATAAAATTAAAGCGCTATGATTTTAATATATTAGCTACTAAGTAATATAATATAGCTATAGAGTATAGTTAATAACAAAAGAGTATAGTATAATATAAACTAAAAAGGGTTTAAATATAGCTAAAAGATTATATAAAACAGCTAAAATTAGATAATATATGAGCTAATAGAGTATAATATAAATACTACTAAGTAAGTTAATATAGCTATATTAAAATAGTATAATAAGCTAAAAAGAATAGTTTAATATAGCAATGAGTATTATAATATAGCTAATAAGTTAATTAATACAGCTAATAGTTTGTTTTTAAAATACTAATAAGTATACTATAATATAGCTAAAAAGTATAAATAAAATACTTAGGTATGTTTAAAATTTCTAATAGAGTAAAGTTTATATAGCTAATGAGTATAAAATAATATCTATAATAAGTATAATATACTAATAGAGTAATTTAAAAAGCTAATGTATACTATAAAATAGCTAATAAGTATAATATAATATGCTTTCTAAGTATAGTATAAAAAGTTATGTATATATAATTTTAATTATATAATAAATTAGCTCTAATATAGTTTTTAAATATATCAATGGTTTAAAATAATAAGCTTCTAAGTATGTATAATAAACAAAAAGTAAATAATATACTAAAATATATTAAAGATAATATAGCTAAAATATGTATAATTAAACAATATTTAGCTAATGGTATGTATAATTCTACAAGTATAATAATTGCAAAGGTTGTTTTTAAAAAGCTATAAGTATATAAATACAGCAAAAATATAATATATAAACACTAATAGATAAATTTTAATATAGCTATAAATATAGTATATATAAACAAAAATTTTATAAATAAACTAAAGAGTATGTTTAATATAGCTAAAAAGTATAATAACCTAGAGATATATAAAACAAAATAAAAAGAGTATATTTATATGCTTAGAGTAAATTATATAGCTACTAGGTATAAAATATAGCTAAATAGTAATTTAATATACAATAGGTTAGATAAATTTGATAAAAATATAATATAATCACTAAAATAAAGTTTAATATACTTAGAATACTATAATATGCTAATGATATAATATAAATTTCTCTAAGTAATATATTAGTAAAAAGTTAGTATTAAAAAGAAAAAGTATATATATTAGCTACTAGGTATATTAAAATATAAAAAGAGTATTTTAATATAGCTAAAAAGTTTTAAAAATACTAAAAGGTATATATATATACTAATAAGTAAATATAATAGCAAAAAGTAAGTTAATATACAATAAGTAAAATTTAAAATAGCTAAAAGAAAAAGAAAAAAAAAAAAAAAAAAGCCAAAGAAAAAAAAAGAAAAAAAAAGAAAACAATTGTATTTTTTAATTAGCTAATAGGGTTTAAATAAGCTAAAAAATGTATTTAGCTAATAATAAGTTTTTTAAAAACTATAAGTTTTTAATATAGCCTTAGTATATATAATATAGCTAAATAAGTATTTTTATATCTTAAAATAAAAAATATTATAAAAAATATTAAGGTATAGTTTAATATAGCTAATAGAGTATTGTAATGGAGGTTTTGTGTTACCTTGTCTGCCTGAGGGTCACTCAGTCTCTGCTGCTCCACACACAGGTGACACACCTTGGACATGAGCTCGTAGGGGTGGATGAATAGACGAGAGGAAAGCAGGAAGGTGAAGGAGTACGTCATCTGTGCAGAGAAAGAGGGAGGGGAGGTAGAGAGCGGAGGAGGAGAGAAATTAAGAGAGAGGTGTCAATAACTTTGGAGAATACAGAGAGTTTTGGACAACAGACAGACGGACCGAAACAGACAGACAGACAGAGTCACTCACATCAGGGTAGTAGTCCATGGAGGGAACCAGGTGGTGTATGAGGGCCTCCAGTGAGCCCGACACAAGGGTGTTGTCATGGTAATATAATCCTGCGTTACTGTATCCCTCCTCCTTGGTCTGGTTCTGGTACAGGTTCTTATTGTAACCACTGGAGACCAGCAGGCCGGTCAGCAGTGGCGTTTGAGGCATATTGTCCTGGGAGGATGAAGGAGGAGGTTATAAACACATACACAACCCCCAACGGAGACAGAGGAGGAGGACAGGGTCACCCGGAGGGCAGTGATGTAGTGCTGAGAGGGAAAACAGAAAAGAGAGACTCTTCAGAACAATAGCCTTGTTATTATTCTGATATGTTTGGACAGACCCAAAAGTGATTACAGGGCTATATTATATTCTCCATCCCAAAACAGACAGAACTGGGAGGTTTGTTTACTTAAAAGAAGCAGTCGAATGGTTGCATCACATGGGCCTACGTCCTGTGATTACAATATGGGCAATTCCACGTAACGGAATTGCGCTGAGACTCCGTTTTTTTTCCACTTAGTCTATGGACTACTTTTAACAATTTACACTGAAAATGTTAAAAACATTTACTCGAAGAACGGTGCAGATACGTTTGTTAACAAAACATTTGTAAAATCTCCTTCAGTTTTTTTTTTTTATGCGACCAAGTAAAAAACTCGGAATTAAGATTCAACGATGTCTGCAGAAAGAATGGTGTGTCAGCTATGACATGATTCCTTGAGTTTGAAACAATCTATTTTGGTCATTGAGCTACTGTAAGTGAGGATGGTTACAGTAAATGGAAAGAGGGTGCTCATGGGTAGGTGCCGGGAGAAGTGACATTAATTAGAGAGAGATATTATCTCTACCTCTCTCAATTCAAAGGGCTTTATTGGCATGGGAAACATATGTATACATTGCCAAAGCAAATGAAATAGACAATATAAACAGTAAACATTAACCCCCCCCCCCCACCCCCCACTGGAGAAACACAGAGCATCCATTATCCATTTACTGACAGGGTCAGTTGATATGATGACAACCAACCCTACAAAGGCACATGTTGTTGACTTAAAATAATGAACCGACTCAGTTTCTGGTTCCACCTTCCCCGAACAACACAGTGTATCCATTCACAGCGGACATGATAAGTTCACTTGTTGACAAACAATAAAATGAGGCTAGTTCTGAAAACAGGCGCTTCTAATTTCTCTCCATCTCCCCACACACACACAAAACGTATGAGACTCTCGGGAGAGTGTACACTGTGAGAGTGTATTGTTCTGATAGGGCAGTGTTGTCCTGTGGCCAATGACGCTACTTATCTTTTCCCATCACACCACCCAACAGACACCACCCTGGGATGACTGCATTTGACTA